CAATGACCAGTAGTAATTCCTCATAGCTGGTGCATGAGAAATAACATGATGATGAGTGAAGTGCTTCGCTACTAAACTCTCAAAGTAGCCGCATCGCTCTGCTTAAGCTGATATGCAAAGTATAGGTGAATTCTGAAGTTACAGTAAGTGATAGCGTGAAAAGCTCTGCCCTAATTTGGAGAGTTTATCTTTTCATTATCTAAAAGGCTCTAGGGATGTACAATGAAACAAATCCTTTTTTTTATTTTCGATTTTAACTGAAGTTCATATTTAAAACAGAGAAGCAAAGTACAGTAAAGCACATATGGTTAAGTGACAGGGATTAATATGCTTCCCACATCTGTACTCAACTAATGTGATCACTTTAATAAGTCCCCGAACGCCAGATGAACCGAGACCACGAGGAAACCGGACTCTGTTTGGATATATTTCTAGCGATCAAAGCCAATCCATCATTTGCTCTCCAACACCCATTAAAATTCTGTCTGCAAGGGAAACCAAGAGTAGCCATTGACAACCAACGCACATCGCCTTACTTTTCAATGGCAGGTTATAATTTTATGGATTCAGTGAACTTCTTCCCCGCACGGCACTAAGTGCATTAAGGAAACATTAAAAAACCACTGAAGATTATTCTTTATCTGGTGTGGCATTAAGCTAATCCTATAAGAAATTAAGTATCTTTCATAATAACCCGTGTCTGATTTACTGCACGTTTATCGTACCAGCCCACAAATCATTGTTGTGTTAATACTTCAAAGAGGTTCTGTGCTTTGTGTGTTGGAGCTGAAAAGCTTGCCCTAATTAATTCCAGTGTTCCCTCAAGTGATGCATAACCGTGAATCTTAAAGATGGGCAATTTCATCCAAAATGGATGCCTTGGTTTTTGGTGGAGCACAGAAAGATTTGATATGAATTTTCGAGGAGAGATCTGCCCACACCCCAGCAGAGCCATGACAAGATGTAAGCTACGTTCCTTAGAAAGTCCTCTAAAGCAGTGGGTGTCAACCTTATTGAGACTAGATCCCCATTAATTCTTCCCAAATGCCCCAATATCCAGCACTAATACCCTTAGCACACACTACCAACATCATGCTCTAAAATGGGAGGTGGGATAGGTTTCGGTTCAGGGAGCACCTGCCCTGTACTGCTGCAAGGATGCTGTGTGGTACTCAAGGTACTCATCTGTAAATTCTAGCAGACTTGAAGCCAATGGACTGGCAGTTGAGAAACACTGCTCTGGAGGGCTCTGACATATAATAAAACACAGAGAACACATGGACACAAGGCAACAAAAAAAAAGGCAGCACTAACCAATAGCACATAAGTGAACCACATAAATAGAATGAGTTCTGTCAGTTAAAGCTGATGTTTAGGCAATTTTTACATAGATACATTGGCCCAGCTTGGACCAGTGGAAGTATGTATGCGCCATACCTATGAGATCCCCTTCGAAGTTGCAATTTGTTGTAGTAGGCACCTCAACTATGGTGATTGTCGCTAGTTCCTGGGTGCCATGCTGAGTGCCTGCCCTGCTACATTATTAATACAAGAACTATAAAAAGAAGAATGGGAAGGAGGCTGCACAAGGCAGACTCAATGTCCATATGGTTTTACTGGTACCACATCCTTTTATATAAGACACTGAAGCAGAAAAGACCCTACCGGCTAGAACTACTAGGACTTTAAAGGTATCACACCCAAAATTATACATTACTATTATTATTCAGGATTTATATAGCGCCAACAGTTTGCTCATATAACGGGAGAGGATACAGCAACAATACAGTTCAATACAAGAGGGTTAGGAGGGCCTGATCCTTGGAATATAAAACATATACATGTATTTTATTGTACAAACCTTTTTAAAAATATGATTAAAAAACATCACATTACAACAGCGTAGGTGTCACACAAGAAGCTGTAATGAATGTAGTTGATATTTTGCTAATGGTCATACCCCCAGGTAATTATATTTATGCAGATGTCTCCAACACATTTTGCAGGGAGAGCTAATACAGGGTTCTTTAAAAATGATAAGCAAAGTACATAATCAAAAGAAATACAAAATCAATGTCCACATAATACATCCATAAACAGGTAAATATATGCACATAGTGATACACATATCAAGATGATAATATTGATAATGTTACCTTTTGTGAATGCTTAATCGTAAACAGTCTGAGCAAAAGGAGCAAAAAATCACAACCACCATCTGGTAAGGATGCCAAAATACACCTTATATGAAGTATAGGTTTAAAAGGGAGACAAATGATATATATCCCTTCAAAAAAGGGGGATAAAAGGAAGCATAAATATGTCATATACAAAAATACATAAACATAAAAGGCTTCATATAAATGTATTCTTCTATTATCTTTCAACCCAAGGGATCCAAAAATATAAAGGAAATATACAGCATAGGAGGATTTATATACAAATCATAAGTTATAATTTTTTTAAATTAGTTAAAAGGTTGCCACCCCCATAGGTTATCAGGTTACTCATCTTATTATGTGGGAAGGAAGGTTTTTTTACAAACTAAACCCCTGCTCCCCCCCAAATAAAAAAATACAGAAAGGAGAGTCAAGCCAAAAGGGTAAAAAATCTAAAATGCTTCAATGGTTTTAGCCAAATTCACATAAAACAGTCATTATGTTTTGGTGGCTCACAGCACACAAAACTGGGAGACTACAAAAATAAATGAATATGGATTATTATGAATATGTACTCTTATATAATGTCTACAATATTCTTAACTTTTTGTTTTTATTTTTGTAGCTGTGATGAAAGGGTGTGCTGTAAGCCCCTGAAACGCGTTGTCTGCTTTTTTGTGAGTTTTGGTAAAGGACCATTAAAAAATGTTGGACCCTATAGCCCAGGGGTCTCCAAACTTTTCAAGTAAAGGGCTGGCTTTCAGCCCTTCAGACTTTAAGAGGGCTGGATTGTCAATGGGGTAGAAAATGTTCCGGGCCCAGCATGTCAAGGTCCTACCTTTTCCCTGAGGTTATGTTACTCCATGTGCTGGCGTCCATCTTGGATTCTGCTGTGCATGATGGGAATCCTTTTATGCCTTCAGGTTTCTGTGGTCCATCCCCCAGAGGGGTGTGGCTGATGACATATAAGCCTGTGGCCCGCACATGCTCTTTGCACTTGTGTCTTGTGTCTTGGTGTTGCTATTACTCTGTTCTGACTCTCGTGACTCTCCTGGTATCTGATTCGGCTTGTGACTTGACTATTCTTTGTATTCTCCTTTGATCTGACCCTCTGCTGCTGAACTCGGCTCATGACCTGAGATTCTCGTCTGCTGTCCTGTACTGTTTTGTCCTGTTGTTGTTGACCCCGGCTTGTCTGACTACTCTTTTGTCTCTTCCACCAGCTACACGCCATTGGCGGCGGCCATTACCGCAGCTGAGGTGTCTCGGGGGCCGCGACCTGGTTCCTGGCTGCGTCAAGTCCATCCCCACCATCAGGGGCCCTGGTGAAGGGCAGCCTGGGACTTAGACTCCGCGCCCTGAGGGACTTCGGTCTGTGGGTGGTGGTTGTCGTCAGCCAGTGCGTTACATTGTTAGGCCTGCCTGTCTGTTCCTCAGCTCCTGCCCTGACACAGCATCAGTCAAAATAGACATGGCCTCAGGGTTGGTGGTCAGTAGGAGGAAGAGTAGTGCTCCATCAATAGTATTGGAATAGTACCCCATCTTTGGTATCAGTGGAAGAAATAGTGCCCCATTGTTGGTGGGGGGAATAGTGCCTCATATCATTGGGAGGAATAGTGCCCCAAGGGCTAGCAAAGGGCCACATCCAGCCCTTGGGCTGCAGTTTGGAGACCCCCAGCTATAACCTATAGTCTTGGCACTCCTGTTTTGTTTTGTTTTTTTACTTTGAGCTTAAAAAATAGGAACAGTCTGTGGACTTTTTTTCTCATCAAGTTTTCAATCTTTTTTTTTTGTAGCAAGATAGCTGAGTTTACGTGCAATCCAGTATTCCTAAACAAACAAAAACTTTGTGATATGACTGTATTTATAACCTCTAATTGGCAGCTGAATAAATGCAATAATAAACTATGAAAAGGATAGTGTCTAAACATTCCAATCAGCAAAGTAAAGTATACAAGAAGTATCCACCATTATTTGAACAGGGCAAAGCCATGTGATGTCACATGCAGACAGCTGGGAGTGAATGATATGAAGTGATGAGCATTTTATCCTTGGTGCCAGGGGAGCACTTGTTTTTGTAAGTGATATTGCGCATTTTAAATAATTTTTAATGCACTACACAACCTTCTTTTTACCTCTACATATGTCGCATTTTCTTCAAATGATGATATCTGGAATCTTATTATGGGATGATTGGATCGGATTTTAGGGGTCTTGGATAAGTGTAAGGCTGTCCACAAGGTTTAAGAGTGTATCTATGAGAATGTTTGACCATTCTTCCAGAAGCACATTTGTGAGGTCAGGCATTGATGTCAGACGAGAAGGTCTAGCTCGCAGTCTCCGCTCTAATTCATCCCAAAGGTGTTCTATCGGGTTGAGGTCAGGACTCTGTGCAGGCCAGTCAAGTTCCTCCACCCCAAACTAGCTCATCCATGTCTTTATGGATCTTGCTTTGTGCACTGGTGCACAGCCATGTAAGAACAGGAAGGGGCCATCCCCAAACTGTTCCCACAAAGTTGGGAGCATGAAATTGTCCAAAATGTCTTGGTATGCTGATGCCTTAAGAGGTCCCTTCACTGGAACTAAGAGGCCAAGCCCAACCCTTGAAAAACAACCTCACGCCATAACTCCCCCTCCACCAAACTTTACACTTGGCACAATGCTGTCAGGCAAGTACCTTTCTCCTGGCAACTGCCAAACCCAGACACGTGCATCGGATTGCCAGACAGAAAAGTGTGATTGGTCACTCTAGAGAACACTTCTCCACTGCTCTAGAGTCTAGTGGTGGTGTGCTTTACACCACTGCATCCAACGCTTTGCATTGCACTTGGTGATGTAAGGCTTGGATGCAGTTGCTCGACCATCGAATCCCATTCCATGAAGCTCTCTACACACTGTTGTGCTAATGAAGTTTGGAGGTCTTTAGCTATTGACTCTGCAGACAGTTGGCAACTTCTGCACACTGTGCACTTCAGCATGCACTGACCCTTCTCTGTCCTTTTACGTGGCCTACCACTTCATGGCTGAGTAGCTGTTGTTCCCAGTTGCTTCCAATTTGTTATAATACCACTAACAGTTGACCGTAGAATACTTAGTATCAAAGAAATTTCATGGATGGACTTATTGCACAGGTGTCAACCTATCACGGTACCACGCTTGAATCCACTGAGCTCCTGAGAGTGACCCATTCTTTCACAAATGTTTGTAGAAGCGGTCTGAATGCCTAGGTGCTCGATTTCATACACCTGCGGCCATGGAGGTGAATGGAAAACCTGAATCCAATGATTTGGAGGGGTGTCCAAATTCTTTTGACAATATAGTGTGCATATATATATATATATATATATATATAGTATATATGTTATACTTTGGACTGTATATATATCCATACATACAGTGTATACAGTATTTACATATACATGATATAAATGCATAAAATGTATTTTATTAGAGGGGGAAGAATTTCAATTACACTTGTATAGGTAGCTCATTGGGGCATTCTCAGTTCTGTGCTCACTTCCCACCTCAGCAGTTCAGGAAGTGATGTCACTTCCTGTGCTTGGGAGGAGACACCAAGATGCAACAAACTGCTTTTGGCACTGAAGCTTGAATGCTTTTGTGGTATTTTATATTTGACCAAAATTGTCTTTGTATTTGACCAAAGTTCCTCTTTATAGAACCCTTAGTAGCCAAGGAAGAGTGGACAATGAAGGAAACCCCTTTACCAGCCATAATTTGATATAGACCGGATATACACATTTTAGTGAAAATAAAGCAGGAATCCAAGCAAAAGCCTGAAGCCGCCATGCCCTGCCATTAGAAAGCTCATATTTAAATCCCTGTTTTTTTTTAGTGCTTGGTGTCCATTTTACATGGCTCACACTGTTATGGAGAGAGCACAGTAATTGTAAAAGTCAAAGACGACATTAAAGAAAATAGTCCATCCTTTCAAGGTTACAATAAAACTGAGCTGAACATTTCTTTGTGGGAGCTGGGATCTACGTGATGAATTCCGCGAAGTCTAAGACTGTCATGCAAACATGATTGGATTGAGACCCAGAGCGGGGCCTGGAACGTTTCCAGATTAACTGGGATCAGGCAGTCCTTCAGGTCATCTCAACTTTCTGCTGCACAGTGGACTTAAAAGGGGCTAAACAACTTAGCTTATTTTTGGGTCTACAAGAAAACTGAAAAACTGCAATTACATTGTGTGCCGCTTGTGGGAAACAGTGCTCACTGCTCACCTGTCCTCTGTGAAGCTCATGTAGGCAACATTAAATGAATCGACCTAGAGACCTTACAGAATGTTCAACACCATGTAACTGCTGATGTCTTCCAGGAAATGCTACAATAATGCTAAAAGCTTAATGTGCAACCAATTTTGATGGAATACACCCTTAAAGAGAAACTGAACTCTAAATGTTGTATCCAGAAAAAGGCAGTCAAAGGGCAAAGAGTACTCACCAGTAGTGTCTGTGGTCTCCATGCAGCTAATTTTTTCCCATTACTGACATACAATGGCTTCTTCTGCACTGTGTTTCTTTGTGGAGGCAGCCATCTTGGTAGAAGCAAGGGTTTGCTTCCTCATGTCAGTGCCTTCAGCAAGGGTAACAGTGAGCAGCACAGTAGTAACATCAACAAATCTCATTTTAAATCTCCAGAGACTAGCAGAGGGAGGCAGCAGTGCCTAAGATCTCACTATGATCTCAGCTATGAGGCAGTAGGCAAATTCACAAAGTACACTGCTATTTTTTAGGAAGAATTTCAGACAAAAGTTACATTTTCCTGTGACTACTTAGGTATAATTAACACTTCTAAATGTTTCATATAACATAGAAAATCTTCACTTTTTTAATTCAGGTCCACATTAATAGTACCAGACATTAGTCCTAAAAATGCTTCTCAGTAGTGAAAATAAAAGCCCCCCTTCCTTATTTCTTGGGTACCATTTCAGTGTTCCTATTTTCCTTTTAGGACCAGAAAGATATTGGAATACTGGCAATGAAAGCAAGAAAGATAGTACCTGAGACAAGGGTATATACTGTTTTCGGGACTGTTTATAGTTTATTAACTGTTTCTAACTATTAAACTATAAATTGAATTATATATATATATATATATATCCATCACTTGGAAAAACAAAGATCCTCCCTTGCAATGGGGCTGCCCCCACACTGCAGGTGTTAGATGCTAGTTTATGTCTGGGGGACTACAAAAAGCACTTTTACTTACCGGTCCTCCACTTTCCTCTACCCCAGTGGATTATTCCTCAGTTTCCTCATTTTCAGTGCAGGGTTATGGGCTCTGGGTTTGATGAAGAGGCTGTGGGGACTGGTCTTACAACCCAGTGGAGCTTGCAGGTGCAGATGATCAAGTAAGCAAAAGTGCTTATTGTGTTTCCCTTGACCTAAATGAGCATTTAATATTTGTAGTGAGAGGGCAGCCCCACTGCAAGAGATCATTTTTGCTTTTCCCTGAGTTCAGTTTTAGGATATACTGTATATATATATATATATATATATATATATATATATATATATATATTTTTTTTTTTTCTAACATACTTTAGAACTGTACTGCTACCACTGTAGGAGCCACTGGATAGGATGGGTCCTCTTTTCTGTGTCTCAGCCTTCTCAAAAGCCTCAACCCCTCTGACACACCAGGTTGAGAGTACAAAAATACAATATCTTAGGAAATAACTTTAGTAATACTTAGTACCCAATAGTAGTGCTACGTCAACAGGTAAGAAAACAGGTACCAAGCCAGGTAGCAAACTTTATAAACAGCAGGTAAGTATTGAACATGTCACCATTTTCCTTGGTAAATATATTTCTGAAGGTTCTTTTAACATGAAATTTTCACCACATGTCAGTAATAACCCATGCAATCCATACATACAAAGAAACCAAAAAAATAAATTCAGAAGTTAAGTTACGTGTAATAAAATGGAATGACACAGGAAAAACATATTGAACACATGAAGAAAGGAAGGTGCAAAAAGGCATAGAAAGCCAAGACACCTGTGGAATTTTATCAGTAAGTTGGAAAACAATCCTGCCCCTTGTCAGTGCAAATTAATATCAGGTGATTGAGTTTCAACTGATGGCCTATAAAAAAGTGTCTTATTACCAAGGTGTCATCTCATGATGGGTAAAAAAAAGCAAAAACCTTTGAGCTACTGATGGCTCTCAAAACTTCTGGATGTTCTAGTGAGCACTATTGGGGCCATAATCAGGAAGTGGAAAGAACATAATTTCACCATAAACCAGCTATGACCAGGTTCTCCTAGCAACATTTTTGACAGAGGAGTGAAAATAATGATCAGAAGAGTTGTACAAGAGCCAAGGATCACTTACTTGTAGAGAGCTTCAGAAAGCCCTAGAATTAGCAGTTACAATTGTTTAAAAAATACAATAAGTAAGGCACTCAACCGCCATGGCCTGTATGCACGCTCACCAAGCAAGACTCCATTGCTGAATAAAAAGCATGTCGAAGCTCGTTTAAAGTCTGCTGCACAACATTTAGACAAGCCTGTGAAATACTGGGAGAATATAGTCTGGTCAGATGAGACCAAAATTGAACTCTTTGGATGCCATAATACACACCATGTTTGGAGGTCAAATGGCACTGCACATCACCCCAGAAACACCATACCATCAGTGAAGTTGGGAGGTGGAAACATCATGGTGTGAGGCTGTTTTTCATCATAAGGTACTGTCAAACTTCATATCACTGAATGAAGGATTAATGGAAAGATGTATCGAGACATTCCTGATAAACATCTGCTGCCATCTACCAGGATGATGAAGATGAAAAGAGGGTGGATATTTCAGCAAGACAATGATCCCAAACACAAAGTCAAGGAAATTCTCAATTTGTTTCAAAGAAAAAAAATACATCTGCTAGAATGGCCCAGACAATCACCTCACTTGAATCCAATAGAAAATCTATGGAAAGGCCTAAAGATCAGAGTTCATAGAAGAGGCCAACAGAACCTTCAAGATTTGAAGACTGTGTGGAAGAATGGGCCAAGATCACACATGAGCAATGCATGCGACTAGTTTTTCCATGCAGGAGGTGTCCTGAAGCTGTCATTACCAACAAAGGATTTTGTACAAAGTAATAAATAAATTTCAGTTAGCGTGTTCAATACTTTCCCTGTGTCATTCCATTTATTACACGTAACTTAATTTTTTAATGTATTTGTTTTGGTTTCTTTGTATGAATGGATTTCATGGGTTGTTACCAACATGTGGTGAAAATTTCATGTCAATAACACCTTTAGAAATATATTTACAGAGAAAAATGATGAAGTGTTCAATACCTATTTTACCCACTGTATATACATTATACACTATATTGCCAAAAGTATTGGGACACCTGCTTTTACACGCACATGAACTTTAATGGCATCCCAGTCTTAGTCTGTAGGGTTCAATATTGAGTTGGCCCGCCCTTTGCAGCTATAACAGCTTCAACTCTTCTGGGAAAGCTGTTCACAAGGTTTAGGAGTGTGTCTATGGGAATGTTTGATCATTCTTCCAGAAGCGCATTTGTGATGTCAAGCATTGATGTCGAACAAGAAGACCTGGCTTGCAGTCTCCACTCTGATTCATCCCAAAGGTGTTCTATCGGGTTGAGGTCAGGACTCTGTGCAGGCCAGTCAAATTCCTCCACCCCAAACTTGCTCATCCATGTCTTTATGGACCTTGCTTTGTGCACTGGTGCGCAGTCATGTTGGAACAGGAAGGGGCCATCCCCAAACTCTTCCCACAAAGTTGGGAGCATGAAATTGTCCAAAATGTCTTGGTATGCTGATGCCTTAAGAGTTCCCTTCACTGGAACTAAAAGGCCAAGCCCAACTCCTGAAAAACAACCCCACACCATAATCAAACCCTACCCCAAACTTTACACTTGGCACAATGCAGTCAGGCAAGTACCGTTCTCCTGGCAACCATCAAACCCAGACATGTCCATTGGATTGCCAGACAGAGAAGCGTGATTTGCCACTCCAGAGAACACATCTCTGCAGCAATTGTACGTACAGATATAGACACAGACATCCATTTTGCTAAAGATCCACCATCTTGTGTAATTCTCACTCCAAATCAGTCCCCTTCCCTTTTTGTTGAATGGCATGTGGTCCGTGTGTGTGTGCTGAGTTCAGGAGTGCTCAGGGCACAGCTGGATACACTTCATGGTTGTAAACCCAATTAGCTGGTTCCCGGGTGTCTGTCAGCCTCTTGCACTGGCCAGATCGTAAAGCTATAAACCCGTCAGTCACTGGACTTGAAAGCATTCCGGAACAGCATTAAAACATACATCCCACTTGAAAACCACTTTGTCATACAATTTCATAACTCCCGGCAGGAAAAAGGTACAATAGAACAAAGCATATATTCAGATAGGTCAGTTTAATGCGAGTCACCTGATACCTTACATCCCTAGATTACGTCTACTCGAGAGCAGAAAGTGATATCTCTTTAACCGTCACAGGCAGATATGTCATATCTGGTGTCTGGACGTTCAGAATATCATTCTGCATATTATCCTACCAGTGGATAGGATGCTGCATGTACCTATGGAAGGTTATTGACCATGATATAAACTTGGGAGGAATTTGGGTCACAGCCTGGGTCTCCGCCTAAACCCCCTCCCCAAATGAGGCGATTGACCCTTGGCTTCAGTAGACCCCCCCTGCTGGGGGACTAGAAAATAGGCTTTCAGGCCTGGCGAAGTAAGATGAAGAGATTCTCCCTTTTAACATCAGGAACCAACTTCGGGAGAAAAGGTATCCTTTTGTTCAGGACACTTGAACTCTGCTTAAACCAGGACTTCTGCAAGTATTTTACCTTCTTAAACTTCTTTCTTTATCTTTCTGTTGTGTTTTTTGCTCTCTCTATTTATATATATATATTTGTTACATCTTTTCTGTAAACATTTTTATTGCACCATTTTGACCTTTTTAGTAATAAATCCTATTTTCTGCAAAGTATTGAATTGTTTCTCTAAAGCTCTTTAATACAAACTAAGAATCCCTGTCTCTGAAGAGTGCTACTGTGTGTTTTAAAACCTCTGGATACATCTGTCTGTGGTGACAGTGTGTATTCAGACGATTATTCAAACATCATAGTGTTACTGCTAAGATTTGTGAGTTTCCTCCTTCTATGTACAAAAAGATGGTGGTGGCAGTCTGAAGGGTTAATTGCATAATTAACCTGACCCAGTAACAATCGCTCTCAGGCTGCGGCACATAGATTGTGGTCCAGTGAGCTGGAAAATCGTGCAGGGTGCAGCTGAGCGTGGCATTGTTACGCAAGTGGCAGCGCGGTTTTAGATTGGCTAGTCCTTTGGTCACAAGTTGGTGAGAAGGCCTGGGGTCTGACGCCACGCCCGTCACAATCTCTACTGCTATAGAGTTCAGTGGCGGTGTGCTTTACACCACTGTAAGGCTTGGATACAACTACTCAACTACTTGCCATGGAAGCCTATTCTATGAAGCTCTCTACACATTTGGGTTGATTTAATAACGGTAAATATAATTGCACTGCAACTGCACCTGCAAATGTATTTCAAGTACACTGCAGGTGCAGTTGCTTTAAATCTGAGGGGAAGCTCTGAAATGAGGCGAAGCTCTGCTGGTTTCTTTAATTCAATCATGTGCAAGCAAAAATGTTGTTTTTTTTATTTTACTTGCATGTTCCCCTCAGATCTAGAGCAACTGCACTTTCAGTGCACAGCCTATTTGCCTTTAGTAAATCAACCCCTATGTTGTTGTGCTAATAGGAAGGCAAGCTTGGCGGTCTTTATCTATTGACTCTGCAGACAGTTGGTGACTTCTGCGCACTGTGCACTTCAGCATATGCTAACCACGTGCTGTCATTTTACGTGGCCTACCACTTTGTGGCTGAGTTACTGTTCCCAGTTGTTTCCACTTTGTTATAATACCACTAACAGTTGACCGTGGAATGCTTAGTTGCAAGGAAATTTCACTGATGGACTTATTGCACAGGTGGCAACCTATCACTGTACCACGCTTGGAGTCACTGAGCTCCTAAGAGTGATCCATTTTTTTCATAAATGTTTGTAGAAGCAGTCTGCATGCCAAGGTGCTTGATTGTATACACCTGTGGCCATGGAGGTGTTTGAAACACCTGAATCCAATGATTTGGAGGGAAGTCCTAATGCTTTTGGCAGTGTGTATGTGTGTATATATACAGTTGTGTTCAAACGAATAGCAGTCAGACATCACTAACCTGATCAATCACTGTTTTTGGTAGAAATTATATTTCTACATGGCAAATAATTTACTAGCAGGTGTAGTAGAGTAATATAAATCCAACAGACCCAACAGTCATGACATGCATGCTGCTGATTCTGTGTAATTGAATCACTAATTGAAAGGGGCATGTTCAAAATAATAGCAGTGTGGAGTTCTATTAGTGAGGTCATTCATTCTTTGAAAAACAGGTGGCAATTATTGCCCTTATTTAAGGAAGGAAGGCAGCAAAATGTGTTGTACATGCTGGTTACAGTGCATTTCTCTCTGAAATTCTGAGGAAAATGGGTCGTTCTAGACATTCTTCAGAAGAACAGCGTGCCTTGATTAAAAAGTTGATTGGACAGGGGAAAACATATAAAAAAGTGCAGAAAATGATAGGCTGCTCAGCTAAAATGATCGCAAATGCTTTAAAATGGCAACCAAAACCTGAAAGACGTGGAAGAAAGTGAAAAACTACCATTCGAATGGATAGAAGAATAGCCAAAATGGCAAGGACTCAGCCAACAATCAGCTCCAGGAAGATCAAAGAAGGTCTAAAGTTACCTGTGAGTACTGTTACAATTAGAAGACGCCTATGTGAAGCCAAGCTATCTGCAAGAAGCCCCCGCAAAGTCCCACTGTTGAAAAAAAGACGTGCTGAAGAGGTTACAATTTGCCAAAGAGCACATTGACTGGCCTAAAGAGAAATGACGCAACATTTTGTGGACTGATGAAAGTAAGATTGTTCTTGGGTCTAGTGGGCGGAGACAGTTTGTCAGACGACCCCCAAACACTGAATTCAAGCCACAGTACACTGTGAAGACAGTCAAGCATGGTTGCGCAAGCATCATGATATGGGGATGTTTCTCATACTACGGTTTTGGGCCTATTTATTGCATACCAGGGATCATGGCTCAGTTTGAATACATCAGAATACTTGAAGAGGTCATGCTGCCTTATGCTGAAGAGGAAATGCCCTTGAAATGGGTGTTCCAACAAGACAACGACCCCAAACACACCAGTAAACATGCAACATCTTGGTTCCAGACCAACAAGATTGATGTTATGGAGTGGCCAGCCCAATCCCCGGATCTTAATCCAATAGAACACTTGTGGGGTGACATCAAAAATGCAGTTTCTGAGGCAAAACCAAGAAATAGAGAAGAACTGTGGAATGTAGTCCAATCATCCTGGGCTGGAATACCTGTTCACAGGTGCCAGAAGTTGGTTGACTCCATGCAACACAGATGTACAGCAGTTCTCAGAAACAGTGCTTATACAACTAAATATTCATTAAGTGATTCAAAGGAAAGCAAAATCTTCAAACATTTTTCGGTTTATATAGTGTGAATGTTTGAGTTTGTAAAGAAGAATACAAACACTGCTATTTTTTTTTGAACAGTCTAATATTCACTTTTCTTAAATTTTTTTTAGAGGAAGAACACAAATTTGATATATTTTGCTTCATTTTTTGATTTGGAATAGAATATGTAATGTTCCCAATGCATTTGTGTGTATGGAAATAAAAGCTATTAGAAGGATTTTGAGCTTTATTCACTTTTTTTCAACACACTACTATTATTTTAAACACAACTGTATATATATATATATATATATATATATATATATATATATGTTATACTTTAGACTGTATATATATCCATACATACAGTGTATACAGTATTTACATATACATGATATAAATGCATAAAATGTATTTTATTAGAGGGGGAAGCATTGGTATAATTGGTAACTGAGCAAGCACAAATTGGATTAACAATGGTACAAGCACAATTTTGCATACAGACTGATTAACAGGAAGGCCAATGAAAGTGCAGCAATGAGCAGTAGTAAAGTCTAATCTACTGCCAGAGCATATTTATGGTGGTGATGCTAGTCCTAGACAGACTGGGTATGCACTGTTCAAAAGAAAAGGGGATTGTAGGATAGGTATTATGTAAGGGGCAGTCCTTTGAGATGTTCTTCTACTGGATATTGTTGGGGCCCTTTAAGAGCATCAGTGAACTTAACAACAGTCTCATTTACCCTGCATGCAGTGTAGGTACAGTATAGATACAGTATAGTCTTGACACTGGGCAAAGGTGGGTGTGGCTCAGATGCTGTAAAGGTTCAGTGTAATGCGATATAGATTTGGTATAGGTGCAGTATAAATGCAGTATGGGTGTGGTATAGATGCTGAATAGGTGTGGCAAAGGTGCAGTATAACTGTGATAGACTTAATGTCCTGTCTCCAGTTACTTGATTACTGCAATTGGTGGGCGATGAGCCCTCTCACCAGTCCCTGTGGTGCAGCTGTGAACTCTCATTGTAGAAGGGTCCCCCTGTCTCACTGTCAGGTGCCTCAGATGATCAGAAGTGGGAAGAACAGGGTGAGAGTACACGCGGGTCCCCCTGTTGCAGTGGTTCAAGTTTGATCACTGTGGTTTATGAAGCATGGTAATGGGTGTGTCTCCCTGGGTCTCAGGCTCAGTCCCCACCAGTCTGGCCTACCACCAGTCTGGCAGCCTGCAGCAGATGTGCTCTTTGTGCTTTCCTTGGCACCAAAACAACCCACTTCCTCAGACAGTTAAAAAAATCCTTTGTTAACTTCTCCTGCTGCCCAGGGCACATAGAAATCTGTAGATCAGAAAGTCAGTTCCTGTATTACATGGCTGCTGTTTCGGACGACAACTCCCAAGATTCCAAGCTCCCTACATTGAAGTCTAGAGGTTGCTTGGCTTTAGATCTCCCCCTGCTGGTGAGAGGAAAAGAGTGCAGCATAACATCAGTATCTCAGCAGAAAGTGAAAGTAAACTGATTGTAAAGAGGGAAAGGTCTCTTTCTCCATGTTTCTGTTGTCCAGCACCTACAGTGGGGAAAAAAAGTATTTAGTCAGCCACCAATTGTGCAAGTTCTCCCACTTAAAAAGATGAGAGAGGCCTGTAATTGGCATCATAGGTAGATCTCAACTATGAGAGACAAAATGAGAAAACAAATCCAGACAATCACATTGGCTGATTTGGAAAGAATTTATTTGCAAATTATGGTGGAAAATAAGTATTTGGTCACCTACAAACAAGCAAGATTTCTGGCTCCCACAGACCTGTACCTTCTTCTTTAATAGGCTCCTCTGTCCTGCACTCATTACCTGTATCAATGGCACCTGTTTGAACTCGTTATCAGTATAAAAGACACCTGTCCACAACCTCAAACAGTCACACTCCAAACTCCACTATGGTGAAGACAAAAGAGCTGTCGAAGGACACCAGAAACAAAATTGTAGACCTGCACCAGGCTGGGAAGACTGAATCTGCAATAGGCAAGCAGCTTGGTGTGAACAAATCAACTGTGGGAGCAATAATTAGAAAATGGAAGACATACAAGACCACTGATAATCTCCCTCGATCAGGGGCTCCACGCAAGATCTCACCCCGTGGGGTCAAAATGATCACAAGAACGGTGAGCAAAAATCCCAGGACCACACGAGGGGACCTAGTGAATGACCTGCAGAGAGCTGGGACCAACGTAACAAAGGCTACCATCAGTAACACACTACGCCACTACTACGGGACTCAGATCCTGCAGTGCCAGACGTGTCCCCCTGCTTAAGCCAGTACATGTCCGGGCCCGTCTGAAGTTTGCTAGAGAGCATTTGGAGGATCCAGAAGAGGATTAGGAGAATGTTATATGGTCAGATGAAACCAAAATAGAACTGTTTGGTAGAAACACACACTCCTCGTGTTTGGAGGAGAGAGAATGCTGAGTTGCATTCAAAGAACACCATACCTACTGTAAAGCAAAGCATGGGGGTGGCAACATTATGCTTTGGGGCTGTTTCTCCGCAAAGGGACCAGGACGACTGATCCATGTACAGGACAGAATGAATGGGGCCATGTATCGTGAGATTTTGAGTGCAAACCTCCTTCCATCAGCAAGGGCATTGAAGATGAAACGTGGCTGGGTCTTCCAACATGACAATGATCCCAAACATACCACCCGGGCAACGAAGGAGTGGCTTCGTAAGAAGCATTTCAAGGTCCTGGAGTGGCCTAGCTAGTCTCCAGATCTCAACCCCATAGAAAACCTTTGGAGGGAGTTGAAAGTCCGTGTTGCCCAGCGACAGCCCCAAAAACATCACTGCTCTAGAGGAGATCTGCATGGAGGAATGGGCCAACATACCAGCAACAGTGTGTGCCAACCTTGTGAAGACTTACAGGAAACATTTGACCTCTGTCATTGCCAACAAAGGATATATAACAAAGTATTGAGATGAACTTTTGATATTGATCAAATACTTATTTTCCACCATAATTTGCAAATAAATTCTTTCCAAATTAGCCAATGTGATTGTCTAGATTTTTTTTCTCATTTTGACTCTCATAGTTGAGGTCTACCTATGATGCCAATTACAGGCTTCTCTCATCTTTTTAAGTGGGAGAACTTGCACAATTGGTGGCTGACTAAACACTTTTTTGCCCCACTGTAGCTACAGAACTAAATCATGGTGCTTACTGAAGAGATCTGGATTGCTGAGCTTGCATAGAGTTCAGTTGTTGAGATCTCCATTGGTCTGGCACTTCCCCTGAACATGCTACAATCAGCAGGCCGGACCGTATTTACATTTCAGGAGCCTATAGGCAGAGAATCCTGAGGCACCCCCTGTGATGAAATGCGGTTTCCAACCCCTGCCCATCTCACCAACTCGTGACCAAGGACCAATCAATCTCACACCACGCTGTCACTTGCGTAACAAATGCCACTCTCAGATGCACCCTGCACAAAGATTTTCCAGCTTGCAGGACCACAGTCTATGTGTCAGCAGCCTGAGAGCGATTGTCACTGGGTTAGGTTAATTACGCAATTAACCCTTCACACT